TAGCTCTTTCTCTGATCCTGATACTACATTCCTCTTCACAGAGTCTAGATTCACAAAGTATTTGCTCATCACAGGTATGCAGAAAGGACACATCCCTGATGCACATTCTTCCTGATTTTAAACCATGCAGTGTTCTCTTGCTCTGTTCAGACAACAGCTTTTTGATCTAGGTAAAGATTTCTCATGAGTACAATTAAGTGCTCTGGGGTACTCATTCTTCTCAATGTTAACAATAATCAACAATAACAGCAACACATCCTATATAAACATAATAGAAGGATATGATTGAGTAACTGGATAATACAGCAGCAGATAAAGGCACATTAGGGAAAAAATTTAGCCACAAAACACATGGAAGTTATAATCTGATATTGTAAACTACACTATAAAGACACTAGAGAAACTCTGATTAAATAATGTAAGTTAGAAATAGAAAACATAACTTGGCTAAACAATAGGAGATTATGTAAAGAATACTGATGTTGCTATATCAAAACAGACATCATAGCTAACCCTCCAATGACTTTTCAGAGGTTTGTTGTAAATTGCATGGGAGGAGATTACCCATCTTTCTCCCACTGATCCACGGAACTGAACCACTGAGCCACTGGTCAACTAGAACTGCTTGCCTTTGGGTGGCAGAGTAATTCCTTACCACTAGTTCACCAGAGAGCTCCCCAAAATAATGATGTTGTTGTTGATTTTGTTGTGTGCTGTTGAGTAGGAATTGAATCATAGCTGACCCTCCAGGAGATTTTCAGGTTAGAAAAGAATTAGGTAAAGGAGGGGGGGAATGAATTTAGAAATACAGACTAAATTACCAGAAATGTAAGAGCAACTAGAACCTATAGAAAATATATAATAGCAACAGAAGATTGAAAAGATAATAAAAATAAAACAGAAACATGGAAATATTTTGAGAGAATGATATATGAGGAACGTAGGAAAAGAAATGCCAATATATAAAAAATTATAGTTCCTGTGTTTAAAAAAATCAAAGCAATTGAAAAGAACAATTACTTAAAACTTTCATTTAAAAGAGGTTTTCCCAGAATAAAAGGTGGTCTGTGTACATGTTACTGTAGTTATGCTCTGTCAAGCTGTCTGTGACTCATAGTGACCCTGTGTACAACAGCCCTAAACCCTGCTCTATCCTGTGCCAATCTCACTTTCTGACACACCTACCCCCATTACCCCAGTCACTGAATCAATCCATCTCATTGAGTGTCTTCGTCTCCTGTGTTGTTCCTCCACCCTCCCAAGCATGACGTCCTTCCTCCAAGGACTGGTCCCACCTTGCAACATATCCAAAGTATGTCAAATGAAGCCTCAGAATCCTTGCCTCCAAGGAAGGGCCTGGTTTAACACTCTCTAGAATGAACCTATTTATTTTCTTAGCAGTTCATGGTATATTCAATACTCTTGTCCAACACCACCATCCAAAGGGATCAATTCTCCTTCTA